AGCTCCATCCATCAGAGATGCCCTGGGGAGCTAAGAGCAGGTAATTCCTAGCCTGCTCAAAAGAGACAGCCTCAATCTTTGAGCTCCGTGCTGGGGGATAACCAGGAGTAGGCTTCATCCTTTCTAGCAGCATTTGACCGCAGTGTATCTGGGGAAAGATTGGATAGACCTACAGAAAAAGCAAGGTAAGAATTCTGGATGTTGTTTGGGAGACCGGTAAGTCCCAGGGCAGCAGGGGTGACGGGAAGTTCTCCTTCTCTTCTCCCAACCACATTTACTTTTCCTCTAGAAGTGAACCAAATTCTTCAGGCAAAATATGTGTTCTACCATGTCTGGTCTCTAAAAATATTAGGTGATAAAACTATACTCATGTGTCACAAAGCCGGGGGTCACTTCTCCAGCCATACTAGCTTAGTCCAAAACACAAATTAAGGAAGCATAAAAAGGGCAGACGTGGGGATGAATGATGCCATTGTACTGCCTACATAGACAGAGCCTTCACTCAGAGCCTAATTACTCATAATTTGCACACAATAGGAATAAGCTTGGCTATATGGTTCTCTCGCTCATATTAGAAGTGGGGAAGCTCAGCAGTTTGAATTAAGAGGGAGAGGTGATAGTGGATACCTTCCAGTCTGAGAGGAGACAGAAAAGTATAAAGAACAGATATAAGGTCTCAAAGAGCCCAGCAGGCTGGTGAAGGGGTAAACAGCTCCACATACTTCAGCAGCCCCTGAAGGCATCCCTATGCTCCCAGGAAGTATATTTAGTGATTCTTAAAATGATCAGAGATTAAGAACTGAAAGGAACCTCTGAGGGCTCTCTCTCCCCGCTATTTGAAGTATGAATTGTCATTTACCTCTCCATCCCCTTAAAATATCCACCCGCTAAAGAGGACAAACTCACTATCTTGTAGGGCAGTCCTTCTATTTTTAGACAGATCCTGCCTGGCTCATCCAAAAGGAAAAAAAAAAGGTTATATTCTGTTCAGTCTCCTTGATTTTAAAAAAGAGAGATACATAACCCATTTTTAGAAAGATTTCCATTCACACTAATGAAAGTTTAAAAAAAAAAAGTTCTGGTGCTCATAGGAATTAGGTCCAATTTTCTCTGGCAGCCTCCCTGAATATGTGGGCTGCAAGTGATGACGGTACCGAGGAACGGACTTTAGGGTGCAGTTACCCCTTAACCTAGTCTCATTTCTGAGCCCCTAAACCACAAAGTACAAGGCCCAGCCTGTGGATAATGATACCAAACAACAGAAAAATAAGAACCCTGCAGCAAGAACTGGAAGGCTGGGGTTCAAGTCTCTGTCCTTCTATTAATTCATGATGTGACCCTGGGCAAGTCCTTTCCACTCTCAGGGCGTTGACCAAAATGAGGAGACTGGACTAGGTGATTTCTAAGGTTCCGTTCGGCTGTGGTCCTTTTGCTTACAAAGCTCTAAGTCCTACGGCTGCCATCAGAGTCTAGGAAATCTTAAAGAGCAAAGCAATTTGGAGATGTTATATGTGTGTGCATGTGTGGACACACACGTGTATATACATGCATGGCATGTGTGTGTATATACACGTATATGTATATACATACGTATACCTGCACATGGTGTATATGTGTGTGTGTGGGAGAGAGAGAGAGAGAGAGAGAGAGAGAGAGAGGCAGTGTGGCCTATAAGTACAGCCTTGGGTTCAGGAAGAGCTAGTCTTGCCTATGATCCATATTTAAGGGCTGAAAAACCAGGAGTAAGTCATGTAACTTCTCAGGGTCCATCTGCATTGCTGGAGGGAGTTTCCACACCAATACTAACCCTCCCCCATTGACATACCAAATCTAGAATTACAGTAATAATAATTAATAATAATAATAATGTACAATTATGTTACAAGAAACAAGACCCTCCATTAAGACAGGTGTGTCTGAGAAGGAAGGGGTCCGTATGGGGAGGCACTGGTGTACTGTGCCCTGGCTGTAGATGATTGAAATGGGCCTAGCCTGATTCTTCTGCTGAAATCATGGGGAATAGCTCGCCTCACTTAGGGACAGGTCTAGCATCAGTCTGTGTAGGTCTATGTCTGACAGTTGAATTCAAGGAGCCAAGCAATTCCCGGGCTGGGATCCACCGAATCCAAAGTTTGGGGATCTTAGGATGACCCAGTTCCTTGGGAGTGACCACAAAATAAAGGAAGTTTTGCCATTAACATTCTTTGTGATTTCTTAGTTTCCTCATCTATAAAATGGGGTGATTAGATAAGATTCTGAGATCTCTCCTAGGATCCTAGTAAACATTTCTAGAATTTTTCTAGAATGCTTTAAGCTTTGCCACGCAAAAAAAAAAAAAATACCCAACTTTATGAAGCAGGCATTGAAAATTAGTAGCAATATGGTGTAATAGCTATTGAGCTGACCATGGAGTAAGACATGGATTTGGGTCTCAGTTCTGATATATTGTGTGATCCTGGATAAATCACTTCACCTAGAGCCCTAAACAACTCTTTTATGAGTATGAAATGGAAAGATACTCATTTGCATTGGTGGAGAAGTTTTTCTTATTCAGAATTCCCTACAGCAACATTCTCACAGTGTAGGTTCATGACCAGAGTCCCTCTCAGGAGATCCTTGAGATCAAAACTGTTTTTATAATAATACTAAGATATTATTTGCCTATTAAGATACTCCTTGCTTTTCCAACTCCATAGCTAAATGAGGCCAAATATTCTTCACATACTTCATCCAAAACAACATATTGCAACAGATCAAATGTAGAAGCAGACTGGAGAACCCAGTTGTCATCTATAAAGCCAGACATTAAGTAGATTTGCAAAAATATGCACTCCTCTCACTAAATTTTGTTTTAGAAAATAGAATTATTTTTCATTAAAATGTTATGTTGGGGCAGCTAGGTGGCCCAGTGGATAGAGCACCAGCCCTGAAGTCAGGAGGACCTGAGTTCAAATCCGACCTCAGACACATATTTCCTAACTCTGTGACTCTGGGCAAGTCACTTAACCCCAATTGCCTCACCAAAGGAAAAAAAAAAAAAAAAAAAAAAAAAGAAGGTATGTTAATATAATGGGCTTATTCATGTTATTTTAACTGAATTAATAACTATTTTTAAAATGTATGTTTTAATTTCCAATTCTTCAATTTTTTGATAGATGTAAGCCACATAAACAAAAACTCTTTGAAACCTTCAATCATTTTTAATAGAGTATAGGGGTCTTGAGACCAAAGAGTCTGAAAATGTCTGTCCCACAGTAACAGAATTTGACTACAGACCAAAAATACTGCTGAGGCGGAGAGGGCTGAAGCCCATGGCCGCACTGCTGGGATCTTGGAAGCAGATCCTTGGTGCCTGAACTCCCAGCTCACTTTTAGCATTCTGGTTTTATGAAGGCTGCTCTCATTAACTATTTTGGGGGGGATGGGGATGTGTTTGTACATACAGATTATGGTCAAACACCCTCTGTCCTAAGGACCCTTCCAGCTCTAATATCCTGTGTTCTAAGGGCCCTCCTAACTCTGACATTCTGTATTCTGGTTGTCTCTTCCAACCTGGATGTTCTATTACTCTATTAAACAAAGAGAAAGACCTACACCTGCTCCAAAGTTGTGAAATTGAGAGGCTAGACATAACCCAGGAATGGTGTCATAGCACAGATCTGACCTTCAGAGCTGTGGCACATTCATGCTTTGGGATCTCCTCACTGGGGTCAAAACTGTGTCCTTTGTGAGTGGGTTTGGATTTTGGGAACTGCTTCTGGTGAATAAGGTAGAGAATCCAACTGGAACAAACAAGGGGGGGGTTTGGTTTGGGTTTACAGAATGCTTCCACAACATCATCTCATTTGATTTCCTGCCTCCACGCATTTGCATTTCTCATGCCTAGAATCTTCTCCTTCTTCACCTCCATTTTTAATAAACCCTTCACTCTTTTGAAGTCTCAGCTCAAATGCCACCTCCTACAAGGGGCCCTTGTTATTAGTTGTTAGTGCTCTGACCTTGAAATCAGTCATATATATATATAATATTATATTATATATAAATATAATTTGCTATTTCTGAGGTCCCTTCCATCTCTCTATCTATGATCCCATGAATTGAAGAACCTTATGATGTAGGCAGGGCAGATTATTACCAACCTCATTTTATCTTAACAACAAGAAACTGTCCCTAAAAAGGGAAATGACTTGCTTAAGGTCATCCTGTGAGTCAATGCTGAACCGCAGCTCCAGTCTCCACATTGATGCCTGTGTAAGGAGATGGCTCATGTTATGTGGTTTGTGCACTGGTGCCAGAAGCCATTCCCAAATTCTCATGGAAATAAGAGTAAGGCCTGACAGGGGGATGACTTTGAAGTCATTATGGCCAAGTTCTGGCCTGCTAGTCAAAGAAGTGATCTTGTTGACTCACCCGGCTGCCGTAGGATCCTGATAAACTCAGGGCCACACTCGCTTCCAAGGCTTCTTTGCACTAGGAGAAATCACCTTTCACTCTAGGCCTGCTCTGATCTAGACCTGAGAGCTTGGGCATGAGGCCAAAGGGACCCCTCAGCCCAGCTCTCCGGGGGTAGGAGGTCTGGGGCTTGGTGCTGGGATACAGGAGTCTTTGAATCACTCCTCTCCCCTTTCCTCCTCAAAATCCTCCAAAAAGTCATCCATCCGGGGAGCTTGAGTCACCTCTAGAGAGGCAGAGAACTGCAATGCACCAAAGAAAGACCTTTGGATCTGGAATCCTCCCCCTAAACACAAGAACCCAAGGGCCCTTGATCCAGCCCCTGTAGGAGACCCACCTCCCTTCCCTTCTGTCCTCTCCCCCAAGGAGCTACAGCAAATCACAGAAAGTCAGAGCTGGAAGGAACCTTAGACAGTATTGACTACCACCCTCTTACTTTGCAGATGAAGAAACTGAGGCTCAGAGAAACAAACTCATTTTTCCAGACACACACACACACACACACACACACACACACACACACACACACACA